CAACAGGAAGTGAGGCGAGACCGGAAGTGACATAAAATTACAGTTTGCCAATATTTTCAGGTTAGTTAAGGATTTTCAAACACGACCTTCTCTTCGCGCCAAACTAACGTACTAATCGAATGACAAACAGTGGATCTATGTCTGCCGTAGTCTATGGGCTTTGGCTTTTGGTCCATGGTAATAATGAGGATACCTAAGAGATACTCTTTATTTTACGTGTTATTACCAATTAGCGAGAAAAGGTCATTGGCCTCGTACGATAATGGTCAAACAGGTAGAAAGTCTTAGCACGCGCCGGATTGCATAAGTATGTTAAACGGATCAGTATGGTAATACCGCGAAGGATAGATTTTTTTAAAAATTTGACAGATTTAAGAAATCAAGGTCGAAATTAAATTTCGAGGGTATTTTTATTTATTCCAAAAAATTAATGACCGGTTAATCGCGTTTGTAGTACGAGATACGAAAACTAAAAAGTGGATGCTGATTATTGGCGGCCTTGAGATGAGGTAATGTTTGTCAAATTGATTTTTTTTCTTTTTTTTTCCTTTCCTTCGCTTCAAGGTACCTATTGCAAATATTCTTTTTTTGGCCAATCATCTTTGCCCGAATTGTAAACAGCAGTGATTACGTCAAATTGCGTGACGTTTGTTTTTTCTTTTCATTTATATATTTCTTATCACTCTTATTCCTTTCCTTCGTCATTTTTCAGGCGATTTAACCGGCTGCCAGATATATAAGGTTTTTTGTTCCGGACGTATTCTATGGATTGGATTTTTGCCACGTCTCTTTGTCATATATCCTGTAACTAATGGAGAGCTTTTCGTTCGAGATGGTTTTTCGTACGGTAGGTAAGCTATGCGAATGGGTGGAATTCCCCAGGGATGCTAAAATCTCGGGAAATTCGCCAATGGAAAAAAATACGAGACGTTTGCGAAAAATCTTACCGACTCGTAAGGGTATCAACCTTTGGTAGTAATTGGCCCTTAGGTCGTCGCGACGTCGACGTCGTACCCCTTCTCCCCCTCAATATGATTCTCGCCAATCTCAACAGATACAATTTTCCATTAAATTCGCAAGGAACGAAATCGACATTATTAAATGCAAAATTGTGCAAATATTCAAAAACCAAATAAAATGAAGTTCCACGTGTAAAAATAATGTAAAAAAAATAAATTAATTTCACCAATCTACATCATAACCTCTATTTGCCAACAGACGAGCGAGTAAAGTTCGTAACGAAGTTTAAGGCCTTAATTAAGAGCCAGGACCCCAACTACATTTCAAGGGATTCAATTAGGATGCTGCAGGTGGGCGTCTAATGGACCACTCACACTAAATACAATCCGTGCAAGATTCAACTATCCCCCGTAACTCCAGAAAACGTCATGGCACTAATGATCGAGTCATGGAAGTGATAGAAAAAATTTCGAAATTAAAAAAAAAGGCAAAAAATAAAGAAATATTAAAATGCCGATGATCAGTTGCCAAAGGCTTCCCTATAAATCCTTTCACGTGTTTCATTAGCATTATCTGGAGACTTGCAACGAGTCGTTAACAATCATCGACGATTCGCGCGAAAAGGTCATCCGTGCAAAAGTGAATGACGTCACTGCAACGCTCGATAGAAATAAAGAGACAATTCCCGGATCAAGTATCGATTAACTGTTGCTGATGCATAGGATGCATATATGCAAGAGACTGCGAATTCCTATATCCTCTAACAAGCTAAACAGACAGAGTGACGATCTATCGAAAGATCAATGGAAAAAATCTAGCATCCATAAAAAAAAAAAAAAAAAAAAAAAAAAAATTATTACAATATCCACTAACAGCGTATATCAACGGGAAATGAAAATTGCGCAAACTTACTATCAGCCAGGATTACATGCAGTAGGATACGGCGGGTTATAGCCGTGCTTGTAAATATGCATGAAACGACAACGAGGAATAAAGGCGGCCTTGCGCACCCGTCTACAAAGCGTACGGCTGGTGTTATTTATAAACCTGAAATTGGTCACGGTTAGCGTTACGTTTCCACACACGAAATACGTGGCTCCCCTTCCTATTTGTTTATCCCGTCGAATTATTTGTTGACGAACGATATACAGGAGGCAGATACCGATCTCATATTTTTTTTCCTTTATCAATACTTTTTGCATGTCATTCATATACGGTCCAAAAATTTCCATCTCAGCCTTGAACGTATGATCCACATTCATTGATACCGTTATGCCGTACCAGTGTGACGAAAGCTGTATGAAGAAAAGAATTGAATAAATTTTTATTTACCCATGAGTTTCACAGATGGCGCCACTAATAAGCTTGGACAATGCCCAAGTCTATTCTGTCTGGTATCGTGGGCGAATAGCCGAGCCAGTCTATGCGTTAGAATTGTAGTCTATGGATAACGCGAAGCTGCGAGAGTCGACTACGAGCGGATGGGCACATCTTCTCATCGGAGGAGGCAGCCATAAGGAAAGGAAGGACTATGAGTGGAATAAAATAAGCCGGGGGAGCAGCGTACGTCATTAAGCCGGTTTACAATTGTCAGGCAGGTTGCGCGTTGAGCTTTAACCCTGTCCTGGTTAAATAATTCAGCGTAAAGGTACGTGCGAAATTTTCAGATCCGTTGCTTCGCGTTTCTCGGCTGTTATTATTATTATGTTTTTCCTCTCTTTCTCTCTGTCTGTCTGTTCGTCTTTGGCCGTGACTGTCCTTCTTCCGCCTTATCACTACCTCTAATTGAAGTCTGATTAAGTAAGGCACGGATCAAGTAAACAGCACGTTGACCGTGCACGAAACACAGTGACATAATTTCACGGCTTCGATAATTCGTTTCCGGTTCTTTTCCAGTTCCGAGTACTCAAAGTCTTATACGTGTTTTTATATATATATATATATATATATACACGCTCGATCCGGTTTTTATAAACGAGTTTAGCATCTAGGTGGCCCCAAAATGAAAATCTGGATCTCTGCAGGAAAAGTCTTTACGGAAAGGACGTCCACTTTGAGTGTGGGAGAAGACCGAGAATATGGAGTAGCGGCCATTTTTTATTTAACTTCTGGATCCTCGATAGGTCTGATCAAGATTTCTACAGTAAGTATCAAAGATATCCTGGAGCGGATATATAGGGCCGATTGTCCACCTTAGGGCCATATTTGATACTGGCTGTACGTTTGAGACCTCGTTATCGGAAATACAGGAGAGTTCGGTAAGAAGGCACGAGTAGGGGGAGTCAGGAGAAAGAGGGGAAAGGTTGGTTGGAAATTTCAGGCATGAACTAACATTGTATAAGAAGTGGTACACTCGTGTAAGAAACAGGACTCTATCTAATTGTGGCAACGTAAATAGGAGGTATCGGACAGTCACGATATATATATATATATATATATATATATATATACGATTTAATAGAGTCGCCATCCGAAGGGAACCACTTGATCCTGAATTTATACCTATAGAGGGTCACCAGAATCTTGGATACCATATCCACAGGGATAGTGGAGAGCAACGTTACCCGGGAGTATTTATACCGCTGTACAGCGTAGAAGGGACGTTGAACCGTGGGGGAGGGCGAAAGGGGGGTGTGTGAATTTATTACAAGAATTGGTAAAGGGGGTGACAAGGAATATTAAAAAAAAAAAAAAATAAAAAAAAACGAACGGCAAAAGTCGGAGAAAATAAAGATGGAGTCGAACGTTGACGTAGGACAATGGGTTCTTGGCGACTACTTGAGACCAACCCCCCGGGGGGTTTCCAAGGAGCGATCAGTCACACGAATCTTTCCAAGAAAGCCACAGGAACGCAGCTGGGTCTGTCGCTTCTATACGGTGTGTATGCATAAAATTCTGTTGCACAGCCGACAGCCTAGTATTTGAAAAAAATTGTTTTCCTTATTTCGTCGACCCACTGTCTTCCGCAACTTTATTTTCCTCTTTCTCAAAGAACTTTTCCTTGGCGCTTCTCGATTTATTCAATTTTTTATTTACTCCTTTAGGGTTCATTGCTTTTCTCCTCGTGTCGATTTAACCCTTTTTTGTAAGGGTCCCAAGGGCCTCGGCCATTCTCCAAACTGTATGGATATATAATACGGCATAGCGTGGGCGATAAATATGGGGAAAAAAAAGGAGGAGAGAAGCTGCAATAAATAAATATGGCCGTGTCGGGGTTGGAGGGTAGAGTGAATTTTGCGTACCTGTGCGAACCAAGGGAACAGCATCGTGCAGAGATTCGTGCACGGCCGTAGTCACCTACCAGGGAATAAGATACCGGGCGGCAAAAAAGTCGAGTAAAATAAAAAGGAAGGAGCAAAAGGGGCCCCCCGAAAGAGCCCTTTGGCGCTGCTGTCGTTGTAATCTCTTGATTTAGTTGGGCTTAGCCCTATAATACGAGCGTGTCTCGTAGTACTTTGTCGGTGGAATATAAGAGGGTTGGCGAATAAAGAGAGAAAAAAAGTAATAATAAAAATGGCCGCGCCAAAGAATCCTCAGGAGAGGAGGTACAAGGCGAAAAGTTGAGACGTACGTTACAGGCCGTTCTTAGATTCAAAGAAAGGATCACGTGACTCGCGTGCCTGGTGTTAAAAAAAATAAATAAAAAAAAAATATGCATTGTAAAAAAGACCTTATCTTCTTTTCAATTCGTTTCTTTTTTATATATATATATTCCGTTCGATACACCTCGACGAATTATTTATTTATATACCAGACATAGCGGATTCCTGGATACTCAAATGACTCTAGAACCAGTCGATTCACGGGGATGTCTCGAGGAATGAATTACCTACCGGATGTTAAAGTCTATAAGAACGGTACTCGGATACGTGGGAATTCGACAGATGAAAGAGTCTCCTAGAGATTTGTCCGTCCGAACTTGGTTCGATTTGACTCGTCTTATATCTCGAGTCACGTAATAGATTTGTTCAGCGGATGATCGCCCTGGGCTAGGAAGATGACGAAATTAGAACGGAACGACTCTCGCGATCGAAGCTCACCTGAACTCGCTGACGATGATGATCCTGCTTCCTCTGACACCTTTCCAGCTCCTCCTTCCGTTCGAGTAGCGAGCGTATGTCACCCGGGGTCGATGGGGTCAGCGAGGATTCCTCGGTGACCTCATTCCTGACCAAGGTGGACGATGATCTTCGTCTGAGGTTGTTCGAGGACTCGTCCTCGTCCTCGCTGTAACTTTCGACCAGAAGCTCGGAGTCGCTCTGTAACCCATGGATCATCGGGGACAGTTAGACAAGCATATTTCTTGTTTACTCGCGTGGAAAATATTTATTGCCGTTTCACGTAATCCAATCAATTCCCTCACCTGTTCCGGCGGTGAACTTGGCGAACTGGCGCTAGATGCCTCCACCACCGAGACGTACTCGCTTACGCCAGTCTCGCTCTTCTGCAACTTCAGCACCGGAGTCTCGAGACCGCAGAGGAAGACCTGACCGAAGAAGAGTATCTTGTTGATCCTGAGACAGACCTGCGCCAGCTCCTGCGATAGGAAGATTGACATTGATAAATAATATAAGAAAAATAAAAAAAGGTCTTATCAGTTCTTATCAGTGTCTTACAAGATCCTCATTTTTTCTGTAATATACAGGATCCTGAAGATTGGACATGAGGGGTGTGAATCCAGAGAGGGTCGTGTCCTCGGGCAGTCTGAGTAATTCCAAATCTGTAAAAAAAAAAATTCCCTAGATTCTCAACAGTTCGATTTAATAGTCACGCTCGAGGGGCCTGGCGCAGATTCGAATCACGCGTCAATTTATGGGCGATCTAGTTGAAATGCAAGAATACGAAATTCTTCATGTTCCGCAAGGTTAAGAGAAAACCGAGGATGTTCACCTCGTCCTACAGACTTAGAATCCGACGCCTGTCGATTTTCCAATTCACTGTACAACGCCCGGGACAATTTTATATTCCCCACGTGTAATTCCATCGTGTCGTTTAGCGTCTCCATCGCGGAATCCGCATTCCGCGGCCTGGTTCGCGTCGATAAACCGTATCGAGTGGTAATCGTGTATCTTGACCTAGGGCAAGCTCAAGAAAACCGAACCCGCTCAAGTCAACGTACCCGAACGCCGATCGTTGAGCGACTTTCGCGGTAAATTCGAAATATAATTTCAAAAAAAAAATTTTCAAAAAAAATTTCCCAATCGAAACACATACCGTTACCAAAGCTCGAAAAGAATTATTCAGCCCGAATAAATGTCAGGTTCTACGTATCGGCGAGAATTAAGCAGTATTGATTCTAAAAAATTAAAAAAAGAGTCCCAAAAGTACACGGGGCATACATGTTAAGAGTCGACGACAAAAAAGTCCCCAATCTTCCAGAGCACAATACGCATTCCTTTTCACTAGAGCGTGTTGCAACGTTCAGCCTGGTATACGAGCAGCGTCCTCCATCACGCTTCTTGTACCTTTTATCCAATTTATCCATTGTGCCCGTAAGGTGTACCAAAGCCAGACTTCACGTATACCAACATACCAACCTAACCTACCTACCCAAAGTATATAGGTATTTATGGTACCTAGTATGTACCCGCGCGAACGCCCAGCAACGGCCAAATTGGCATTACGGTACACGTTAGCCTGGTCCCGTTAGTGTCGCTACTCCTTTCCGAAAACACATCCTTCACATACTTATCCACGGAGCTCGTAAATCTTCACCAAATGGATACCACGTGGAGTTATGATAAACGTACTACAGGCAATACAAATAGCATTGCCGTCCAGCCTGCATTTTGAGGTTAGAAAGAAAAAAAAAAAAGAGCCGGACCTGGTCATCAAAGTGTACCAGTATCAAGGACGTTACAGAGGTCAAACCCATGGGGCATTACCAAGCAACGTAAGTATCCCCAGGGTAATTCGACGATCTAGTTACTTTTTAATACGACAGACACACCCGTTTCCCCTAGAACTCTAGGGAAAGCTTGGGAGCAAGGTCGTCAATGAAAACAGGAATAACTCGGACTGATCTCGTGTCGATATTTTCTCGTCCCATATATGAAAGAAGCTGGTTATTTTTTTTTTCTACCAATAGAGGTTAAAGCGTCATAGGGAATTTTCGTCCCACTCGCCAGAAGGGAAATCCACTGTAATTCCGTTCGGTTGCCAGCAGATACCACAAGGCGTCTCTGCGTGCTGCCAGTAAATTGTAGAAGCGTATACAGAGTCCTCCCGTTGGGTATATGGCGGACGCGGATTTACCGTTACGCAACCGCGGCCACTAGAGGAGCGCCGGGTCAACACACTAGGGATTTCTCGGTACTTTTTTCATCCTAGGGATTTTATCGAATAGACCCTAGGGAACCGCGCGCACAGACGTCCGGGGGGACGTGGATGTTTATCAGCGTTTAAATAATTGGTTCGAATTCTCCAGGCTTACCGTCTGATATGTCCTTGTCGTTCTTAGGGGTGACCAGGACGTTCCTTGGATAAGGCAGCTTCTCCAGGAGATTGACCGTCGTCGCCAGACGACTCCACGCGTCACCCGGTGGCCTACAACACACATGTCCACATATCCTTTAACCGACTCGACCTCCGACACGTGGTTGGGGTATTCTAACAGTGACCCAGAAATTTCCCTGACACAACACAGGTCTTCCTAGTTCCAATGCAAAAGTATATCGAGGCGGGATCGAAAACATAAAATTATACCAAACCAGACTTCAAGTCCGAACTGACCTTACTTTCGAGACCTCCCGAGTCAGCGGACTTAATGGCCGAGTGTTAAGATCACTGGAGCAAATCTCCTGTGTCAGGCGAACAAGTCCCTAGGGACTGGAGCGAGCGTCGTACGCGAGGCAGTTTGGAAAATTCTCAATGACTGCTTCAGCAGGAATCATTGTTTCGCGATATGGTAACTTCTAGGGAATTTTTTTTTTCTCGTGGGAATCTTAGATGGGATTTACGTAATTTTTTTTTTTTCTTCACGTTTCTCTCCCTCTCTCCTCACTCTTTTTCATACGCGCGCGTCATCATCGTCGCTCCTCTCTCGATCGCGTTAGCCCGGTACAGAGTATTGCGATCCGTCTCGCTGAGCGCGTCCTTGCAAGGAGACGCTTGACTCATGTAATTGTTAATCGTTAACGATAATTAACTTATTTCAGTACGGCGAAGCAGGGGGATTGCGTAAAGTGCGGTTACGGGAGCGGAAGCCTTGGGACTCCTCGTAATGGCCAATAGATTAAAATCGCGCATAACACGAAGACTCGGGGCTTTTTATCTTCTCTCTTTATTGTTATATTACTCCTATGTGCCTTTTATTCTTTATCTTGACACTCAAACCCGCGAACGCTCATTGCTACTGAAAACTTTATTGCACCTTGTTTTTACACCTTACCCAAGCGCTATGCTGATTTTACAACGTACCGAAGATAAGTGTACAATATTTCAAAGAATCTTTTTACTCAAAAAAATGTCAATACACAATTAAAAAAAAAAAAGGACAAAAAATCTCAAATCCAAGAAAAACTCCTCGGGACATCGTCCTGCCAAGGGCGTTCAGGTGGATATAATTTTTTACCCCCTCTGAGTCATCTGGTACCTCCCCCTCCCTGAAAATTCTTCAGGTTCTTAACGTCCTCGTCATCGCCAGCATCCTTATCCCATGATGCTCCTTCGTTTACAGCATCTTCCCCAAGACTGCCTCTGGCCAACCTTTCATTAGTGCGTCACACGGTGGATGAGTCACACGAAAATTTCTCATGGAATCTTATGGACTTCCGGTCCGGATTTTTTTTTGCCATACACTCACGAGAATTCACAGCATCCACGTAAACGTCCTTTTGGCCAATGAAGAATAAAGGACTACACGAACCGGCGGTAAAATGGCAAAATGGCAAGTCGGCAATGTTAAACGAAAAAGCCGTTGGATGTATGGATGCGTTTCTATGGAGCATCCAGAGATGCTGGGCATGGGCAGCGGACGGCCATGACCTGCGCAATCCTACCTCACGGCTCCTCCGCACGGCAGCTACTTTATACATCTCCCGTGTATAAGGTACTGTAAGGCTACTGGTGGTTTCACAATTGGTAAGAACGTCGTACGTCGTTTGAATAAAAAAAATTAGTCATATAATTTCAAATCATTCTATATACCTATATACATAAAATGATATGAAACGAGTCATCTTATCTGAAATTCTAATACGCTACGGATCAGACCATCTGATGTGGCGTATCGCGTGATGTGGGTGATTAGCGAAATTTCATGCAAAAATAACACCCCACTGAACAAAACAGATAGAAACCGTTATTACAGTATGAGTGATAAAAGCCTTGAGAGATGATAATTATTAGCAATCATCCAAGCAGAGGCTGGACTCGATTTACTAAAAACAATCGTGTTGCTGGTCAGAGACGCGTGTTATGGCAAAAAGTTGTGCGAATTAAAAATCAATTTTTCGCGAGGAGTACGAACCAAGAAGGATATCCTGGTTTTTGATGATTTGATTTTTTTTTCTAAGGATCATTTTATCCTTAATATTATTATTATCGACGTGAACATTCTAGCGTGATCTTTCGGCAAATGCGAGTATCGCACGGTTACCGACCGCGCATCACCGGATACCAGTATTAATACCGGCTACCATCTTCAGTACAAGGAGCAATACTGGTTCCAGCCAACCAGTGCCGTATAATAATATTAAAAACAAGGTAGTATAGATAAAAAAAAATTTCGCCAGAAGTTGCATGCATCGAAAATTCCAAACGTGCCAAAACTTAGACAAGGCTGATACTCAATAACAGCATAAATGGTGGTTTGCGCGCGGCTTAATAATTCCTGGATAATCAAGCACCCCGACCAGACGCATTTAACGAGATAACTTTTAATCCCACGAGAATTCGCGCAGCATCCTCTGGATTCTCGTAAAACTGTATAAAAATAAATATAGTAAGAGTAACAAGAATGAAAAAAAAAAACTCGTACCCCACTCTATAATCCGTGCAGGAAGGTGGTGGATTCCATATGGTACTGTTACACAGCATCCAGTCGCACCAAATCTGTAAAGATAAACGAGACGTCAGATACGGCAAATCACACGTGGCGACGAGTAAAGGCAGCAAGGACGATTGAGAAAAACCGCCAACAAATTTTCCCTAGGCTTTTTTTGTAGAAAAAAATGTACAAAAAAAATTTTTTTCCAAAAAATCTACCACCGACACATCCATCCCCCTCTGGACACGATATTACGTATTCCCATTTCGCACAACCGCGTCCTTGTACCGCGTCCGGCTTATCGGTAATATTAATGGTGGCTTGTCAACTGGAAATATCGTTCATGACAGCCATCCCGTACCAGTTCATTACGCGATAGTAATATATCCGCCGCCCGCAAGGAGGTCGGCGAACACGTCCAGGAGAAGAGGTACTGGTAGCTGTATCCAGGTCCTTGCCGTATACAATATACAATATACACAGGTGAAAAAAAAATGTACATAGAGTACCAAAATGAAATATAGGACATTGAGGGAATAGACCCTAAGTGACTGAGGTGGTAAATTAATAATGGTCCAGGTTGGCGATGATCAGGTCTTCGTGTCAATTCAACGGACGCACAACCTCCGGAGGCACCGTAGTCACACCTACTGGTCTGACCTTTATCGATAGACTCTACTTGTCTTGGGTGCATCGCGCTGCAGCTTCCAAAGGATGGGTGCATTAATCCCGTCGGTTGCATAATGAGACGGTACAAGATGCAGCCTCCGGTACTTGACATTGGCCACCGGTGGTAAGGCGTGGGTGTGCGAGGGATCCTTGCTTCATAAATCCTTGTACGCGCGTGCGTGATAAGTGCGACGATAAGGAGACGTAGAAAAAAAAAGAACCCTAAAGATGCACTGAAGGGATGATGTGAGGATTATTTTTATTATTAATTAAATAAATAATAATCCCAACCTTAATAGACGGCAACAGGACCTGCATGTCCTCGCCTACTATCAGATTCGGTTTTTCGTCGTTGTCCAATTGACTCTTCAGCAAGGATACCACTCTCTCCAGGATCAGGTTGAACATCTGCAGAGACACCACCAGCGCCCTCTCCTGGACCTCTGATCTGTAACCCTGCTCCAGCTGAGAATCTGCAACAGGAATAAGAGTTGGTTTTTAATTGATTTATTTTTTTTTTTTTTCGATTGTAAACAATGTCACTTTTTATATACAGATGCAACTTGGATGCACTCGGAAGTGCAGTATGCAATTTCATCAAGATTATTCTGAGATCCAGTAGCTGTTCACGTTACGGAGATGATGCAGGCGCCATACTGCAATCTATTCGATATTGACGATCTACGTCGTTACACGTTCCACGGTAGCCTACGTGACTTAAGGGTCGACAAAATGCATCATGGCTTTTTTCCCCACGACTCCCTGCTCCGTGGTAATAATCGATAAACCATTCGCAGCATCCGACAGTAAAAATATGGAACAGCCAGACTTGGAACCCTTATACAAAAGTCTATCTCGCTCTGGCAACAAGAGGGAAGAGTACCATTCTGTGGAAGTTAAGGTGTTTCAACAACGGGAATCTATTCTGGGATTTAAGAGATTCCAATTAATTTAATTAATTAGCTCTTAATTAGCTCCTGACTTTATTAAAGATTTTAATTCGATTTTTCACCGTGGCCATTCCAGCTTTATTGACGCGACGCTGTCCGGACTGCCGGAGACCGTTTTTATCAGCAGCGGAACCGTTCGATTCTTTGCATAAGTTACCTTGCACGTACCATAGGTGACTTGTAGACTGCCTAAAGAAAATTGAAAAATACAATAAAAAATCAATGCACCGGACGAGCAAGGATTTATCGAAGATAAGAAAGAACGAAACCTCAGGATAGATAAGAGTGATTATATCGATATACTCGATCATACTTGTATTTTATCCCACGGGGATCACTGGGAGTCCAACAGGTGTTAAAAATTAACCTCGCACACCCTGGACCACTATTCTCTTTTCTTTCACGCCACCCTATTTCGTCTATACTATCATTTATATGGCGTCCTGTATACCGTACCCTAATCCGTTATACATGATATCTTTACACTGTACTATAGACGCTTGGAGTTTGATTGAAGGGCGGCCCGGGGCCTGAGGTCAGCATGACTAATGGCCACGGAGAATGATCGACAACCCGATGGAAAAGATCGAAAGGAGTCGAAAGGAATAAAAGGGAAGTAAGAGGAGCAGGGGGGTGGACAGGGGGGCCGGGGGTGCAGGACTGTCAGATTCTCACGTATCCCTTTCCCGAGGATTCTTCATCGTTCGCTCTCCTCTGTTAAGGGTTCGGAGATGATCGTTATTGTTCTACCCAGTATACAGAGGCTCTCAATTCATGTAAACGGTGACATTTAAATATGGATAGAAAAAAAAAATTATTTCATACGTAAAATTTGGCACGTATTAAAAATTAAGGTCCTAAGGTCCATAGGAGTAATTATTATTTTTGTTCGAAAAAAAAAAAAATTTCACACACCTCATACAAGGTGTCTCGTTTGTTTGGAGCAGTTTGTCCGATGTCGAGTACCGCGCATGCGCGGTGCGTCCGAGAATATCTAAAGGCCCGGAACATTAATTTATTACGAGCCAAGGATAATAATTAGCGTTTAACCGTGAGGTCGTATGGGGAGGTCTGTGTGGTCCTGTGGTATTGGGAGTGTAAAGGGTAATTAGTTGGACGTGATTTATTCGAGGGCTTGACTAATTGCTAATGCGATCATTAGCCAAGGCGTGAGTTATGCCGTATATCGTCAAACCTTCTTCCACCCTTTGGGAATTAACTTACGTGCGAGTCTCGGATATCCGGTTTTGTTTTGCCTGTTGTCAAAATTTTTTTTCAATTAATTAATTTTTTTTTCTTTTTTTTTTTCGACAAATCATCAACTATTTACTTAACCCTGCGCACGTATCTCTATACCGGGGGTCGCAATAGTTACGAGCCTGAAATTAAGTTACTACTTCCTTATGGGGTCGCACTCAGCCATTAACGTTGAGAAAAGTCGCCTACGACTCCCTGAAGGGTAGTTTACTATCGGCTACCGGGTACCCATATTCTAGTACGTTACTAACTGGTATGTACCTAGACGAATATAAGGGTTGGTACCTATGGAAGTAGATATGTGTATATACATATAAATACATTCAAGTAACAAACTACCCCCTGGGCTACGGAGGGTTGAAAACTAGTAGGCGTTGCCTAATGAGGTCTGGAGGGGTAGGTCAGGCCTTTCATTTCCCGTGCAGATATTAACTCGATCAACGTGCAAAAACCGGCGGAAATCGAGTTAGTCAGCTGCGGAAATAATTCGGTTAGCCTGGGACACATAGTCTGTTCGTGTACACTTTCGCGCGTATAATAATACGTGCGTTTCAGTTACGCTTTGGCGCACGATAATATATATGGGACGAAAAGTCCCTATGCAAGTACGGCATATGGGTGATAATCGATAAGCGGTCGATACTATGTTAAATCGATAAATCGATTTCGTATTTACGTTCATCAATATATATATACACGTATATACATAGCTGCGTGTAATAATTCATCCTGAAAGCCCATGCTGTTTCATCCACCCTTAACACGCCCCCCTATAGCAACCATTCGCCTAACACCAAGGGAACCGCATCAGTCCGCCTCCTGTCAATAATACCAACCTTACCGATCCACGTGCTTATTACCAGACCCAATAATCAATAGAGTTTCTTTCATTTCATTCTTTCCTTTTCATCTCATTCGATTTACTCGACCCCCATTAACCACCCCCCCTGTCCGTCACTGCTACCGCCATTGTTCGTGTGGTCCATAGAATAAAAAAAATATATAGATATCCACCCTGCCGATATCACTAGAAAATCCATCGTCCCTCCAAACCGTTATCAGATACCTGACAACCCCTTGGAATATACGTATATATACACGTAAAGTGCACTCAGTGCTGCCAACGGGAAACAGACTATATACTCGCAAGGCTGGACAGGTTTCTCGGACGCTCTCTATCTAATCTCGATTATCGTTTTCTTTCTTTTTTCTCTTTTATTTTTCCCGATGCATCTCTTCTTCGTTTCTTTTTTTTTTCTCCCCACCACAAAGTCATACTAGCACAGCCTGTCTCCTCCCGTGGACGCCGTCGTACGCGCTTCCTCCCTATTAAGGAATTCGATGAAGAATTATCCTTCTCACCCTGTATAGTGAAACGTGTCCGTAAATTGTTACCCAAGAAATAGATAGTACAGAGTCAGATCTCATTAGAAATTCTTATACAGAACTAACGGTGGCGCCCTCTGTGGCCACCACGTCGCAACTAACGTTACGGCACTTACAGGAGAAATAGTCAGGACACTCATAGAGAGACTTAGCCAGAAATTCCTTTCCCATAGGTGTAATTTTATTAGCGTGAACGAAAAAAAAAAAAAAAAAAATTCTATCGAGATAATATATCTGCCATACAGAACAACAGATAACGTTGCCAGAAGGCATCCGCGGAGTCGGGCCAATGCGTAATGGGATTATACTGTTATAATAAGAAAACCGTGAGCCACTGCGGCGGTTACAGTTATCGAAATTACGATTACGAAAGGCGGTAATGGCACGTGTGGCAACGCGTCAAGATCTTCATCTCTTTTACTTCGTAGCATTTCGGTCCGGTTACTCTTATTATTATTCCACACTATCGTCATCACTGTTACTATTCTCCCTTTCGAATCATCGCAGTTCTTCGTATACGCTTTTTCTTCCCTCCGGCCTAACTCGGAGTAACGATTGGCCGACTGCTACTGTCGTCCTAATTAATCCTGATCACGACTTCCGGTTGGAAATACCCGTTTCCGGACCCCGCGTGTCCTGTAAGAGTCCTTGAATATATTTTTGCCAAGGGTGGACCAGGTCTCACGTGAACTGATAAGAGTTATCGCGAAACTGGTTTTCTTCGGGAGAGCTTAACACCGGCATGACGTAATTCTATAAGTGATTCGATACAAAATACTCTCTGGTTACAGGTTTCCTTCGTACGGATAAGGTACGCCATCTTGAAATAGACATGCACGAAGAAATTTTATAGGAAGAAAAACTTTTATTCGTTATGCCAATTACTAATTATTTTTTAGTACCTATATATATGTATAGTGTATAGGGGTACCTAACTACGAAGAACTATAATTGGCGAATGAGTCACCGAGTCAGTGCGCTGCTGAAGCTCGACTAGGTATATTAGGTTAGGTTAGGTTAAGGTGCGAAACCATTTAGCAAGAAGAAATAGAAATCCGGGAGCAAGAGAAGGGAGAAGGTAAAACGTTTGAGGAGCTTAACAGCTGGTGAACACCTTCTGCTGGGAGGACGAGCTCAATGCACGACCTTCGTGTGACCTTGGGAGGTCGCCCGACGTGATTCTGACTTTTTCACGTAGATGAGGTCAGGTTTCTATTACGAGGAGTCATCCCGATTCTCAGGGACCTGGTGGTTCGTTGTTTACGAAGTCGGAGAGCCTGGACGGCCTGGAGAATATCAACGTCACCGCGAAGGGACGGCCGAAGAAAATGACGTAGACAAATGTAAAATCAACTGGTGCCAAGGGTGGATGAGAATACGTCTCCACGGTTTTACCTTTAATTATGTGAATCGCCGAGTAAGTTTAACGACGGCAAAAAAGTCACTAGGGAATTTTGCATCACGCCAGTCATCAGGGGCACGCAAGCCTGCGCTTCTTCTGTTTCTGGCATTGATGATCTTTCAGCCGACATTCCAGCAGTTACCAGCTGTAAGATTGTCGGAATAATTCATTCGTTGGAATTACGGTGAATTTATAATGATAATAATAGACGTTATTTAATTGGATATATTTAATTGGGTTAATTAATTAATAATAACGTCGTTCTCTTATAGATCTTTAATCTTCGGACTAATGTGACTCGAAATCATACTGGTATCCGGAATCGATATCCGACACAGGTTAATTAACGTTTTACCTAATTTGTATATTTTTTTCCGTTAAAAAAAAAAAGCCGACCAGTTTCAGTCGAAGGTCGCTCGTTTAAACGTGTGAAATATTTCTGACTGATTACAGGGCAGCCGTTCGCCGTGTCGGCGCT